CCCTTCGGCAGCTGTGCCAGACATCTCACAGATCTTGAACTATTTGATGTCCAAACATTCAAGAGTATGAAAAAGAGCGACAGGAAAAAAATCCTTATAGAACTTCCTGTGACAGGTCAGAGTTTAATCACAGCAAGTAATGCAGATTTCCCTTTTATTATAACCACAATAGAAAGGCAGGGCTTGTGTTTACAGAGCACGTTGTTTGGGAGACCTTTGTAAATTGTAATCTTTGGAAATCCCAAACCTTATTGGATGTAATCCCATCCATTAGATGAAGACAACTTGCCTATGCAATAGATCCAGAATAGCAAGTTAAATGGAGAACGTGAACAGGAAGCAGTCATTCCGAATTACAATGGGTAGGATGCAGAGTTAATTCATGGAGATATTTTGTTATGAGATAATTACATCACTAGGACAGCTGGAAAGCTGAGTGCTGTGCTGGACCGCAGTGCTTGCTCTCTGCCCTGCAGCTGGGGGGTCAGGACAATAGAGACAGGGAGAGGACTTATTTTATGGGATAGTTAGGGGCTTGGCTGACTTAATTGTAAAATGATAATGACCTATCTGCCTTTTTTGGATTTTGTTTTGCGCAGCTAAACTGGATTCGTAGACTCAGTGAATGCTGAGAACTACTTTTTGAACCTTCACTTGGATCGCGTTAAGCTAAGCTCTAATGGATAAATTTTGAATGGTAGTTTTCATTTCCTCTAAAAGTCATCTGAGATACTTTTGTTCATCCTCAACCCAATGTGATTATATTTCTCTTATGGAACTGTAGTTATGCAGTCACTGAAATGGTATTTTTGTCGGTTTACTGAATAGCAAAAAAAATAGAATGGTTTTAGAAAGCTTTAAGTTGTTGGTCGACACAAGGAATCAAACAGTTGAAGTTATTTACCAGGGTTTATTTTCAAATGTTCAGACCTGTCTGGCTCTTTTGTTTTGCAAGTTACAGAGGTTATAGATAGCTTGACCACATTCCTCATTGATTTATATAAATATATTACAGATTGTTAACCTCCTGCCAAACACCAGGGGTTTCATTCAGTTCTTGTTTAGTTCGGTTGCTTTACGTGAGACTTATTGGTTTTATTACAGCATCTATCTTCTCTTTATTGCCCACTGAAGTGATTATTATTTGCTTTGGGATGATTCCAGACAGAGTCCTTGTAGACAAGAAAGCATCAAAAATATTATGTTCTAAAATTCCTAAGATTAGTATTTATAGCTGTTGATTCAAAATGCATTTTCTACCCATTATGACTAATGTAATTTAATTTTACTATGATAATGTTTACTAAGCAATTAAGTCAGACTAAATATCATGTTTTAGTATAGAGTAATATTTCCCAAAATGTCTTCTGTACGGTACTGGGTCTATTGGATGTTGATGGCCAGCATTAGAGCCCCAAACCTACAGGTTCTTCTAGGACTTTTACTTCCCTCGATGTCACTTTTGAATTTCTAAGGAGACGGTAATAGGCTCCATTTCCCAAATAAAATTGATAACGGCACCTTAAAAAAATAAAAAGCATTATCACCTTGAACCAGCGTGAGTCACTTCTAGTAAACACCATTCTTTTTGTAGCCTAGAAGAATATATGATTATATACACTAAAATTTATACAAGAATATTCTACTCTGTGTCTCTTTAAATGTGTGTCTTTAAAAATCCACTTTAAAAAAAATTGCCAATTAAAATTAGTGCCTTTTCTCCATGGCTTATCATTTGGGGCAATTAACAGGGGCTCCAGGGAGCTCACCTTTTGCATATCTCAGGTGTGGAGTCCAGGTGCTGCAGGCAGCAACAGTGAATCTTAATAAATTGAAGAGAGTGATATAACTTTGAGAAAAATAACTTGGGTGGGTTAGATGTTATTCTTGCATTGTGTCATACAGAGTGTTTGAAAATGGTTTCAGTGAGATGAAGCAACATAGCATGCTGCCAGGGCTGTTAGGTAACTAACAACGGTTTGGGAGCAAGTGACCCTTCGGTTTAGCAGTGTTTTATGATCACTTCATTCTCCAGCTACGTCCCTGTCAAAAAATTTTTTTCTTTTGGAAATTACTAAAACGTTTTATGTATTACAAACCATAAGTGTAGTAAGAACTGGAGTTACTAGTTCTTTACTGACTGGAGGCAGTGATAAACAATGTATTTTTTTATTAAGGAAATGTATTACTTATAATAGAAAACATTTTGAAAGTAATGTTTAAGAAGCACAGCTGTAATGATGCAGTTCCCATGTTTGTATTTGATTTTAGTACAGGCCATTTTTGGTTCATTACTGTTTCATTTTATCACAAAAATAGAAGCAACAGATATAAAGAAGCTTGGTAATTGTGGAACTCCTTTTTCTTCTTCAAAAGGAAGAAAAAATATTCCATTGTATATATTTGCCACATCATCTTTATCCATTCATCTGTCAGTGGACACTTAGGTTGCTTCCATGTCCTGGCTATTGTAAATAGTGCTGCAGTGAACATTGTGGTACATGACTCTTTTTGAATTATGGTTTTCTCAGGATATATGCCCAGTAGTGGGATTGCTGGGTCATATGGTAGCTCTGTTTTTAGTTTTTTAAGGAACCTCCATACTGTTCTCCATAGTGGCTGTATCAGTTTACATTCCCACCAACAGTGCAAGAGGGTTCCCTTTTCTCCATACCCTCTCCAGCATTTATTGTTTGTAGATTTTTTGATGATGGCCATTCTAACCAGTGTGAAGTGATACCTCATTGTAGTTTTGATTTGCATTTCTCTAATGATCAGTGATGTTGAGCCCAGCCATAAAAAGAAACAAAATTGAATTATTTGTAGTGAGGTAGATGGACCTAGAGTCTGTCATACAGAGTGAAGTCAGAAAGAGAAAAACAAATACCGTATGCTAACATATATATGGAATATAAAAAAAAAAATGGTTCTGATGAACGTAGGGGCAGGACAGGAATAAAGACACAGACGTAGAGAATGGACTTGAGGACATGGGGAGGGGGAAGGGTAAGCTGGGACGAAGTGAGAGAGTGGCATGGACATATATACACTACCAAATGTAAAATAGTTAGCTAGGGGGAAGCAGCCGCATATCTTGGTGCTTTGTGACCACCCAGAGGGGTGGGTTAAGGAGGGTGGGAGGGAGATGCAAGAGGGAGGGGATATGGGGATATACGTATGCATATAGCTGATTCACTTTGTTATACAGCAGAAACTAACACAACACTGTAAAGCAATTATACTCCAATAAAGATGTTAAAAAAAAAAAGGAAGAAAGAGTAAAGCTGTCAAAGTATGTGGGTTAAATGGAAAGAAGATTGTTCAAAGGAGCCTATGAATAAATGGTAGTTACCTCAAATTACCAAATTGAAAGAGTTGTTTTCATAAACTTCCCAGGTTTCAGATCCATGAATGATAGCAATCATGTTTTTCAGTACGGCATGCATATGATTTATGGCATTATTTTTAATAAATTTGTTAGTTAGGAGTTTTTACTTTGTCAGAATAATTTTTCAGAATAAGTCACATTAGTGATACTCGAAGACTTTAGAAATTTAGAAAAAGTTAAGTTTATAAGTAGATAATTAAAACTTAGAAGTCAGAATATTTGGAAGTAGACAAACGTAAGGAAGAAATTCTGTTGATCTTAATTGATTTTAATGGAGTTGTAGAACTCACCCCAGGCTGCCCAAAATTAAAAAGGAGTTTGGACCTGGCTATAAAGTATGTGTGGTTGGTGGTGGTGGTGTTCACCCCATCGATTTAACTTAATTATGGTGTTCTTTAGTTTCTTTTAAAGTTTACTTTAGGTTAACACTGAAGTACCAAAGGTTATGGAGCCCATTTAGCCCAGAAATGCAGTAGAGTGGCGTGGTGAACCAGCTAGGCATTAAAAATTTAAGAGGTAATGTACAAAGTGGATAACTGAGAGTCAACCCTGCATTTCAGTAACTGGGTTATATGCACATTTATAGTTAGTTTCTTTGAAGAAGGTGTTGTTTCATTTTAAAAAATGAAAGAAAGTAATAGGAGTAGCACTTTTATTAGCCTTTTCTTAGTATTTATATTACATTCTTGTCAAGAAATTTATTTATAGCTTGTTTATGGGTGGTGTGTTTAACTCTTTAAATGTTTGGTGAGCATCTCATGTGCCAGATAGTATCTTTGTCTGTTGAAGCTAAAGGAAATTCTGTCCTTTGTCTTGAAAATTCTTTTGACTACTGAAGGCTTTGTTCTTAAAACTTAAATTTTGAATTTGTCGTAGGATTTTATGGAAGGAATTGAATTCTCCCATCCAAACATAATTATAAAGTTTGTCAATCTGCCTTTATCATCTAAGGGCAATATAGTTTACAAATGCAATTTCTGCCCCCCCCAAAAGTTAAAATTTCACAGTTTTTATTAGCATGATATTTGGAATTTTAAAACTAAGAATTCATGCCCATTCCAGGGAAATGATTTGATTCACCAGGATGAGAAGGCTTTCTTAGAAATAAACCAAATTTCTCCTTATTCCATTATAGTTATTTTCATAGGCATAATTATAAGACCTTAAATTCCAGGAAAATCTAAATTGCAGAGTCCAACATCTCCAGAAAATGCTCAATCTGTCTCTTTAATAATTCTTGACCTGTGAGCTAAGAACCATATTTTTCCTAGAGGCTGCAGTTTTTGAAACTATCTTTATCAGCAAATTCTGCCTAAGATCTTAACTAAGGAGCCCTCCAAGCAGGCATTCTCATGTTGCAGTCGTGTTGCTTTTTCTTTGCCATTGTGAATTTTGTCACCACTTAACCAAGTGCTCTGCCCCTGAACTTTCATATCGATATTAAACTATCAGATCCTATTAGGTATCCTTACGTATTATCACAAGGAATGATCAAACCTGTCCTTTTTTCCCCCTAATTATGTGATCAAATTGAGGGATATGTGTAAGACTTACAGGTTACTTCTTTGCTTATTACCACCTACTTAATACCTCTTTTTTTTTTTCCTTTTAGGTTGTTTGATGTGTGCACAGTGTCACGAACAGACAGAGAAACCAAACTAACATTAGTGTTTGAACATGTTGATCAAGACTTGACCACTTATTTGGATAAAGTTCCAGAGCCTGGAGTGCCCACTGAAACCATAAAGGTACTAAGAATCATCTCTCTGCCTGGTCAAACAGTCACACTGTTATATAAACAATGGCACTCTTTCCTTATGAAAATTGCCAAAATTAGAGCCTTTGGAACTCAATATATAGTTAAATATATCTAGTATGACTAAGTGGGATGTTTAAAGAATGGGGTATATTCTAGTTCACTAATTTTAGGGCTCAGTGGAAAAAACCCTTTAGTTCTAATACATATTAAAATTATTGGAAAATATCTATTTGTACGTTATCTGGCCCTAAGCTTAGAAAGTATAGCGTAGTAAGTATAGCTCAGCCTTTTTCTGATCGTTTGTGGACTCTGAGGGTTATAATTTAAAACATCATTCATGAGTATATTGAATATGTAATTGTATACTGGTCCTAGGACATACCTATGCTATGTAAATCTGAAATATTGATTGTTAGGCCCTTCTTTCTCCATTTTCTCCTCATTCATAAAACATTTATAGGAAGCCTAAGTGTCAGGTACCATCCCAAACTCTTGGGATTCAAAGATGACTTAAGACTCCTTGGAGGTCAGCAAGCTAGATGCATTGTATTGACTAGAGGTCCTTTCTTCCTTTAGGTCTAATGGGAAGAGCTACTTATAAAGCTCTGTTGGTCTTACTTTGTTCTGCTTAATTGAACTTCCGAGTCGATCTTGTAGATCTGTGCATATCATGGGCAGGTTTTCACAAAGACCTGTTTGTTTTTGTGAATTAGGTGAAACAGGCTCCTTACCTTATCATTCTTTGTGTAGAAATGAGTTCTAGAGTTCAGCATCATTTTAGATAGGAGTTAATAGCTGAAAACAGTTTATCTTCTGAACAGAGTAAGAAATGTCTTTTAGTGATAGCTAGGTGGTGTTCCCAGATACTGATGCATTTAGAACGTGATGTACTGAATGATTTATTTCTTGGGTTTTAGACTAATGTAGAATTTATTTTCTCCTATCTGCCTTTCATAAAAGAATATGGTGCTCAGGAATGGTCTCGTTGCTTCCTGAGCAGTTTCAGGGACAGTAAGGCCCTTTAAACATAGGTATTCCTAATTACCTGTTCTTGGTCCTTTTCTCTTCTATCTCTGCATCCCTTTTTTCACGCAAATTCTATTCCAATCCTGTGGCTTCAGTTCTTTCCTTTATGAGTTTGTCCAAAATACCATGTTCAGCATGCAGGGCAGAGTATAGCCCTGTTTTGTGTTCTCTGCTTTCTGGCCAGATTGGGCTAATCCCCATCCTCTTACTGTGGCTCATAATTTCCTACCTCCGTGGGCTTCCTTCTCGTTGCCATTCCTTTGCTCCCCCCCACCAATAACTCTCTGCTTACATTTTTCAAGGCCCACCCGAGATATCATTTGAGCAGCCTTTATAGCTGGATGTAATCTCATTTGTCTTATAGCTTGTTCTACATCTCTCCCTCTTTATCATATTTTCTACATTTAATTGTGATTATTTGTGTCCATGTCTTACCTATTCATTCATCTTTGTATCCTGACAGTCCCTACTCAGTGATTTATACACATAGGTACTCAATAAATAAGACACATTGCCAACCTTTCTTCAGATATAATTAATTGAAAATTGTTTTTTAAATGACTTCCAACAGCTTAAACACGGACTGTCAAAATAAGCATTAGCTTCTTCTAATCTATTTCTAAGTTCAAAAATTTCATTTGGGGGAGGTCATTTTTTTTTTAAGCAGCGAGACAAGGTAACCATATATTTATACCCTACATTGCCACCTACATGGATCTTTCGAGCTTCACGTTAAATTCTCCTAGGACGTTAGAGGCTGCTGAGTGGAATCATTTGCAAAAGTGTGTGTAGTTAAAATGACTGATAAACCAGAGTGATGTGCTTAAACTAAGGCTTGATCAGGCAAGAGTAGAAAATGAAGTGGGGTGGGGGAAACTCCCAAGGGTGGGAGTAGAGAGGTAAGCAGGATTCAGAGAGGAACAGGCAAAAAGGTGGTCACTAAGGTGAGGTGAAGGAGAGGAGCCGGGGGATGGCCAAGCGAAGGTTGGGGAGCGGGGGATTGGTGCTTATCAACAGAAGCTTTTGACAAGGTAACTTGTTAAAAGTATTTTTTGAGTTCTTCATCTATCCAGGGAAAGGGAGTGTCACTTCGTTCTGTGTTGAACAGGAGATTCTCCTGGAGGCTGTTAAATTTCTTCAGCCATCAGGGACAACAGCCCCACAAAGGTAGAGGTGGGTGCAAGGGCTGTGGTTATTTAAGGTTTGCGGTTAATGGTGTTTTGATGTTTTCGTAGTAAAATAAAACTATGGTCAACTGAAATATTTCAGGCGATTAATTTGTATGTTAACGGCTCATTGAACATCTTTTGCTAACTTAAAAGCTAGTCGCAAGACCCGTTTCGTCTTCACCCTTAATTTTTTTTTTAATTGAAGTATAGTTGATTTACAATGTTGTTTTTAGTTTCTGGTATACAGTGAAGTGATTCAGTTATACATATACATATATTCTTTTTCAGATTCTTTCCTATTATAGTTTATTACAAGATATTGAATATAGTTCCCTTGCTATACAGTAGGACCTTGTTGTTTATCTATTTTATATATAGTAGTTTGTATCTGCTAATCCCAAACCTAATTTATTCCCCCCTCCCCGCCCCTCTCCCCTTGGGTAACTGTAAGTTTTCTATGTCTACGAGTCTGTTTCTGTTTTGTAAATTAAGTTCGTTTGTATCATTTTTTTTAGATTCCACCCATAAGTGATATCATATGATATTTGTCTTTGTCTGTTTGACTTCACTTAGTATGATAATCTCTAGGTCCATCCATGTTGCTGCAAATAGCAGTAGTTCATTCTTTTTATGGCTGAGTAGTATTCCATTGTATATATGTACCACATCTTCTTTATCCATTCATCTGTCGAAGGGCATTTAGGTTGCTCCCATGTCTTGGCTATTGTAAACAGTACTGCCGTGAACACTGGGGTGCATGTATCTTTTCAAATTAGAGTTTTCTTCAGATATGCCCATTCATCCTTAATTTTTAAAAATTTTCTGAACTGTGCTGATCTACTTTTCTTCCTTATTAAATATAAGGGTTTTTTTTTTTAGCATTTGTGTTTGAGGTTCTTTAAGGCCATCCTTAAAAACATGAGTAATCATTTAAAAGCACTATAATACTATCAAATGGATAGTTTTAAGCTGAATATGTGATTGACATAAATTTATTTTTAATGAACACTTTTATCTTTTGTTTCTAAGTTGACATCTTTTTAAGCACTGGTATGAAGGATAAACAGCTGCTCAGTAGGAAGTTCCAGCTAGTTGAGGTTCTGGTTAATTGAATTTTTCAAGCACACAGCCAGAGAACAGAAATATTTTGTTGTTGTAGAGCTCATTTATGAGAAGTCTCAATAACTATATCAAGTGAATATTGTTATTATGAGGAACCTATTGGGAACATGGATTGGATTCTTTATATAGAATGCTTTGTTGTAATAAGAGTTTTTCTGAATATACTCGTACAAAGGTTAATTGAATATTTACAGGGTGAGTTCTGTGCTAGGCACTTTGAGGACACAAAACTGCATAAGTCATGAACCTGCACTTGAGGACCTTAGAATATAAGAGCACACAGAAGCATGTGGGACACTTCTCTATGGTTATTTAAGTAGTTTAGTTGGTGTTTGATACTTTCAGGTTTAAAAAACCCCACTTACTTATGAATAAACACAGTCTGTAGCTGATTCTTTGCATTATGGTACCAAAATATTTTCTAAAATGTTCTTCGAAATCATAAATATTATTATTGACATTGTCTTGCATATATCAGAACTCGCCATGTTGCAAAATAGACAAATAGGTAAAATATTTTAACATGAAATAGGTGTAAAACAGGAAGTCAGGGAAAGACCTCATATTCAGTTGGTTTAGGCTGTGGGAATTTTCCTCCACTACCTGTCCCCCACCATGTTTTCTGTGGCACTGTTTACCTGTTGGTCCGCCTCAATTCACTATATTCGAGCGCACATTCAGGACATAATTGCATTAGGTGAGCCGTACTTGGGTAAAGCTGGGATGTTGCATGGTCTCTGACTAGCTATTACAGAGGTAAACTCTTTCTGTTCAGTACCATTTTCATCAACCTGTTTGTTATAAAAAGAGCCCGTGAGGGCTTCCCAGGTGGTTCAGTGGTTAAGACTCCATGCTTCCACTGCAGGGGGTGTGGGTTCGATCCCTGGTCAGGGAAGTTCCACATGCCACATGGTGCAACCAAAAAAAAAAAAAGAAAGAAAGAAAAGAAACAAACGAACAAAAAAAGAGCCCATGATGGGCTTATTTTCCCAGCTTACATATATCACATAACAATTTTTACATGCATTTAGTACCATTTGTTTATAAAAGTAAAAATGGCAGAAAACCACCCCTGAAACCCTAAGTATTTGTGAAGGTTGATAGTTGGGTGAACTCATTAGGGGAAATTCTGTCATTATCATATGGTCTGGACTGAAAATTGTCATTGAGAGGCTTATGAGAATAAAATAAAATCATAGGTGGTTCTTTCCAACATTTTACAATACACCTGTTCTAAAAATAAATAAATACATTTATACGTCTTATTCATACTTCATCTTGAAGTTTTCATCACATTCTTTAATCTCTTTTCTTGATGTCCTGAGATATATTCATTCATGTTGATGGTGACATTTGCATAAAGAAACCTCTTGACTGCTATGCTGTGACATCAACAGATACTCAAACTTTGCCTCGTAGGCTTATTGTTGCCATATCTTGCTTTCCTATTTCTAGTTCGGAATGTTTTTGTTTTTGTTTTTTTTCCGGTACGTGGGCCTTTCACTGTTGTGGGCTCTCCCGTTGTGGAGCACAGGCTCCGGACGCGCAGGCTCAGCGGCCATGGCTCACGGGCCCAGCCGCTCCGCGGCACGTGGGATCTTCCCGGACCGGGGCACGAACCCGTGTCCCCTGCATCGGCAGGTGGACTCTCAACCACTGCACCACCAGGGAA